TATTCCAATAATTTCAAAACGTTTCCGCTGCTTTATAGATATATGAAACATAGGTACAGCTATAGTGAATTTGATTTTGCCGGGACTCGTGTGTTGCCACCGCAGCCCATGGCATCAGAAAGAGAGTAACAGATCGTAGAAACAGAAAAATTGATCAGCACCACGATAGGAGTGGTGCGCAGTTACTTTTTGCTCTAAGATTACGGTCTGTGGTAAGGTGTTTGACAGAGATTGTGGAGGAAGCTGCGTTATTACCGAAGCCGATATCTTTCGTCTATTCCAGGCCTGAACAATGAGGTAGGATGTCAAAGGTAGCGGCGAGTGTCCTCAGCCAAGTTGCACAAGCCTCTGCTCGGGCTTGCTCATAGTCTACCGCGCTTAGCCCAATTCAGGCTCGAAGCCGTTGTTCACCGAACGGATATGAGGGATAAGTTTAAAGCTTGTTTTTAAGCAGTTTAAAGTTTGGGGGGCGGGAAACGTGTATTCCGATGTCTGCTTCTATGTGGGACGCTGCAATTAGAGGGGCGTCGAGGTGCGCACCGAAGGGAGGATATGGCCATAGTAGTGAATGGCAAAGAATCCGATTCGAACAAACATGATGGGTACCACAGCGTTTTGGAGAGTGTGCCAGAATATTGACAATAATCGGACAATCTCTTACCGCAAACCCTGAGCGGCTGTTAATCGGCTGACTGTCTGGAAGATTAGCCCTGGTTCAGAGCACGCATAATTTTAAATCGTATGGTAGGACACGTACTGCGTACGTAATACGGCCGTGTTGCAGCGCGAAGTTCTGACGCCACCACTAAGTAATAAATATGTATCATCAGTCAGTAAATTTTTGCGCAAGTACCAGTAATTCTTCTAGAACGAATTCTTAATAACTAGCCCTTAGTAAATCGAAGGCGAGAGAGAAAATATATGTAATAACATACATTACTTAACAGACAAGTAAAAAAACATCTTAAATGTTAACAGCACATTAGTTAACGTTAAGGCGAAATTACAAATTGGTACCGGGCGTTGCGGCCCAACAACAATGATTCCAGTTATTATGTGTCTTGAATACGTCTACCGCTCCGTTTATTTGTTTAAACACTATTGAAAAGAAACGCTCTGCTTTGTCAATCTTATTTAACATTTTCTGGTCATCTTGCTTTATAAATTCAGGTACGTGTCCTTCCACAGTGTATGTACATACTTATCGTATGAAGTTCTTGTACTTCGCGTAGATCATGATCTTCCTCTATATTTGACAACTGTTACGTGTATTTTTTAATAGGAAAGGTTCGTTGCTTGTAAAGTTATATATAAAATTGTGTAAGTTATGTATAAGAACACAGGTCAGTGCCATACAAGTTCATGCTGTTTAAGTGACAGCGACATTCACCTCAGTCCTTAAAGTTACCAAAAACCATTTAATGACTCCTCGAATCTATCCATTTCCTGCACATCTTCTACTACTAAGCATACTTTTACAATATTAGTGTAGTCGTAAACATGTAGCAAAGTCCTAGGCATAACACACACATACACACATATATAGAAGAGGGTCAAAACACTCTTTAGTACAGACAACCTTATTTGACTTGAGAATGAGAGGAGACCCATTTACTCGACTTCGAGAGTTTCTGTCTTTTAGTATCCAATTTACTAATTTCTTCCCTATGCCAGATTTTGGTAAAATAACTAGAGAACCTTACCGACTAAAACGCAGATCTAAAATAAGACTCTAAAATGGAGACTAGATACCCATAGATCCAGAGCTCACTGCTCTGGGGTGCCTGGCCTTCGCCAATACTCTCGTGACGAAGTGGGCCCATCCATCACGCAGCGGGAACGATGTAAGTTCATTGAACTGGAAGTAAACTGTTACTACGTTGATCCTAGGGTTCAGTACAAATTCTAGTGGCTACAGTGCAGCTGAGTCTGCGATGCAATGTTATACTTGACGGAGAGCATTTTTATTTTATATGTGGCCTGCTTCTGTACTGGAAGTTGTATCGTCACTTTGCCATTAATTGGCTATGACGAAGAAGGTAAGACCGAGGTACCAGTTGGTACAGCATTAGTCGATGTCCTATACTAGCGATTACAATTTCATCGCAATGCTCGAACACTTTTGTTGTCCTACTCCCGTTGTCTGACCGCTTAGAGAAGACAGGTTGACAAATATTGTTTCTTTATTAGACACACTTGATCTATTTTTCTCATGGTCCCTTTCTACAAAACCTATTTTCCTATTTTTCTGTTATCCTTTTGTATATATAGTTCTTGGTATACCTGAAACGAATCTAGTTAATATTAGCACATGTCCTAGTTTGCTTTAAACGTAGAATTTTTTTCTAAATAAATCGATAATAGACAATTATTATTTACATATTGCCTTGCTAGTTATGACACTTCAATCTGTTACTGTTGTCAGCCTCCGCACATACACATACACATACACATACACATACGTATGTATAAATGCTAAACTAGCAAATTGATGAAATATGAAAATACTAAGGGGAAAATAAGATGGTACGTGCTTCGAATCGGACTACATAATAGCAAAGGCTTAAAATCATTTTTTACTATGACGCCAGAAGAAGAAGACTTATTCGAGTTATCTTATTGCGGAACTATCATTTAAAATGTTTGCATTGTACTTTAAATTATTTTCCCTTAGCTCGAAGACTACATAGGTTATAAATTATCTAAATATATTTTAAATGTTACAAACGAGCTCTGGGTTATGATAAAGTTTCAGCATGTAGGTTGACTTTATATATTCTTATGAAGCATTCGTGTAGTCTAAGGAACAAGTTAATAGTTAGTGAACAATTACTCTAATCTGTTACGCAAGTTGTTATATACTTCATAGTATATATATATATATATATAAATAATACTTTATGCGTCAGATGGCATATTCTAGATATTTTAAGGACAAACGAGGCTTTTCTCATATTCTATGTACTTGTTTGTTTATAACATTATAATATTTCGGTATTTGCATTACGTTGTAGGTTCTAAACTTCTAGATCGTACATGTCGACAGGGAGAGATAGGAGCCACGTCAAATACTAGGCACAAGCTCACCAGGAAAGTACGAGTGGGAGGTTAGCCTAGGGATATGAAATGTATACACGGACCCGTTGTACGATATGAAAAATTTGCAGAACTACAAACGTCAAACAATATGAAAGCTTATCCTGTTTCGCAAACAGCCTGAACACTTTTACAGGGAGAGTATACTAGCCCTATTCACTGATCTCGGTTTGAAACCAAAAGGTTTTACGTCTCCAATGAACGGCTGATGGAGCAGTCGATCCAAACCAGCAGGTAACTGTTCAATAATGCTGATAGACGACGTCATGCTGAAGCACGCATATACTTAGCGTGCCCGTAAATTAGCTTTGTATGTAGAGCATTACGTTTATAAATTTTACTTTGACGGTGATCTTTTTTAATAGAGCATTATTATTAGCAGATTGTCAGGCCAGTTATTTACAGTCTGATGGTATTAGACAAATGTCTGCGTAACGTCGAGGTGAAGATCATTCCTTTGACTGATTCGTGCGAGCCACCAGTACCTATCATTCCTATTACTTAGTCTAAATCGATTTGCCTGTGAGCTAATAAGGAACCAGTAGCCATGCAGACCTGTGTACACTTCGGGCTCCTTGAAGACAGACACTTTGCAACAGATGCAACAAACGTGTGCTAAGGGCGGGAGGACGCGAGGAAAATATTCAGATGGATGGTGATAACGTTTGTTCGAATGTGTCTACATAATGTACCAAGAGAACTTAATTGATTTTAATTTTAAGTAAATTAACGCTATGGAAGATAAGCCAAACCGGCTCGAACAATTAGCCCGTTCAACTAAAGTTCATGCCGGAAAATTATGATATGATCCTTGAAAAATCCACTCATTTTACAAAAAGATTATACATTTATAACGTCACTTGCTTTCACTGGGTCTTTGCAAACGTTATCGGCAATTCTTTGTTTCGCTTTAATCTACGTGCGCCGCTGTTGACTCTTTATTATTTAAAGTACGTGAAGATAATAGCATCTAATGCTAACAATACAATACTAATTATAAATAACATACAAACATAAGATAGATCGGTGCAAGTAAATTCTGCATGTGAACTATTTTAAGACTCAGCAGTGTTTACATATTTAAAGCTAGATCTGTCGCTACTTTTTATGAACGGTATTCTCTTATTAAGTTATGGCATCGAGTATCACACCTACCCTTTTTGTATATGTACATAAATAAGAAGTATAAGCATGCACTTTCGATAGAGGTACTTATACTGGTTTCCGCGCACGCATGAAGATCCACACATTAGGAAACTATAGCTTGAAGCAAGTCATGCGTGAAAAAGTCGAGGTACCTACGATTTTCTTCTGTTAAAACCAGTTACTTAAACTAAATATGGAGGTCACTTCCGAAAACACAGCAGAGTCTGGTCGTTAGCAAGCGTGGACAAGACTTTATAGACTTTGTATCTTGGCGAAGCTCCATGTGGTAATATTCAGTCCGGCGGAGCACCGGACTGACCGCTTTTCCTTGAGGATTAATATTACGCCCTAGAGAGAAAAATGGTCAGTGAGACCTATATTGTACTGAGGCTGCACATTTCAAACGCTTGTCGTCCGCCGCGGATGGATCGTTTCCAAAATCGTTATAATATTATTCACTTCAGCGGAAGTAATTTTTCTGATGCTGCCTGACAAGACCAACTCGAGCTGTCTCAGTCGACCTTACGAATCAGAAGATTTAGTCCGAATCTGATACTGGACGACCGTTTTGGTTTTGCAGTATATTATATGGCTCACGACTCTGTAGGAATGGTCCCTAGGTGGTAGGCCACACTGACCGATGAAACTGCTACGCTGCTTCACCCCTGAAGTTTTCTATTAAAAAAAAACAATGTGATTAGATTGGTTGGCTGCTTAGTGACAGTCAATCTAGTTCCTATGCCCTCGATCTACGGCAGTTTGCGAGAAACGTTTTGTATTGCCGGTCGCCGATAACCTGCGTGCTATATATTATACAAACATGTTTTATACAAACAGTAAGACGCTTTTATAGAACTAGTCAGTTAGCCATCAAATGGTATGTAATGAATTTTTGGACATCAATATATTTGTATTGACATTTTCATGTACTCTGTATTGAAACATACGTCTTAGGTTGAAACGAAAAAGTGTAAAAAGAAGTGAAAACATGCCCAATAGTAGCGGTAGTCCAGTTTAAACTGATCGCACGCAAATTTGATTTCTAAAGTGGCAAGCGGAAACATTACGCGGTAGCTAGCAACGCTCGTACAACGAACAGATATCTCACACTAACGACGTAGACTACAATATAGGGAGTCCCAATAATCCGTTTTCGCTCACTTTCCGTCGTTTGAGTCTGACTTGGCTATCTAGAAAGGGAAGTGTCGTTTCTTTATCCCTATGTATAGTCTCTGCTTACAGTTGCTTGCGATAGATCTGCAAGGCGAAGATGTATTCTGGCATGATGCAAAACAGAACCTGTAATCGAATCTAACCACTGGCGCGTAGAAAACCCTTTGCGCGTTTAAGTTCCGAAAGGTCTCCTAAAGGATACTTCAAAGCTCTACGGCGTTTGGAATTTTCTGACTACCTGAGGCAGCTAAGGCGGCTTCTACAGAGAGTACGTACTTCAACTGCATCTAATAATTTTCCGCAGGAGATGCGAGTACTACAATAAGCATAGAATATGCTAACTGAATAGAAGACCATCTGAGAATGCGGAAACAATCTCCTTTATGGCCTTATTTGTGCCGTCCCAATTCACAGCACGCTAATCGAAGGCTAATATGCATATGTATCTAACACACGGTACGTAATCGATATTTTGGAGTGGAAGCTGATGGTACAGCTCTTTTTCCTTTCCTTCTGATCTAATGATATCTCTGCATTAGGGCTTTCGGTTGCAAGACATCACTTCATAGTCATTCGGCACGCTTTCGACGGTTAAAACGGCGCGGGGGGGGGGGGGTCAGTTCGCAAACGCACTGGCAAAAATAAATCGATGTCCGAGTGCGTAAATATTATTTTGTGCAGGGACCCAGATTAAAAATGGCCATAAAAAGCAATTAATATTCTTTGTGAGCCTTTCCTAGTTCTGTTGGTGACACGACCCGTCTTTATGGGTCGTTTACGTAAGGCCATTCTTTGTTGAACAAGGCTTCGGTCCTGGATATATTTGTTAGTCCTAATCGGACACCAATTAGGAAAGGACTTTGTTTGATACTATTTTTCATCTAAGAAGCGTTTCGAAGAATCTGTTTTAAACGTATGAAACAACTGCAAGGAAAAGGGTTAAATGTCCTGACTGTCAATTAAGTTCATAGTTAAGTTAGTGGCTTTGAGGGATCGCAAATGATTTAAGACAAGTAAGTATACTTGACATATCTGTATCCGCATATGTGAAACTAATATATCAGCATTTTTTTCTGGCCTAGGGATACTCCTTATTCTAACAAGGCTGTTTAACAATTAATTTACGAAATCGAATTTTATATAGTCGTGTTTTGAAGAAGACACTGAATAATAACCTGACAAAATTTAGTTACGAAAATGTGTATCCACTTGCGCATGTATTCAAATGGCTAGAACCTACTTTCGGTCAATAATAAATAAACCTGACTAATAAAAAAAGAAAATGGCGAGATTCATTCGATTTCTTGTTTAAGGCATAACGGAAAAGTTGCATTTTAAAAGAGGTAACAACTAAAGACTTACCACTGATCCATACCAGCCGAAGTACTCCTCTCCATGATGGAGCACTCTAAAAATTGTACTTATGTTACAAGCATTATAGTAGACATTAGTTGGTGCGAAGCATCATGAGTATTAAATGAACTTATCGTAGTACCCATTTGATAGCATCATTTCTAAGCTTATTCGATTCTAAAAATGCCACTCGATAGATTTACCTACTTAGCCGAAATGAAGCAGGTCACTGTATTTAAGCTGACTGTGGTTGAAAGATTCGGAAACGTATCTTGATACGATTTCCGCCTAAAAATTCTGCAGAAAATTTATTAACTTGCAATAAATACTCGTCTCGTTAAGTTACAGTACTCAAAAATACGGGGAAGCAATGCTTGTAATGCTGAATATAAGCGAAAACTATTCTGATTCACTGCCATGTAGTATATATATGTGTGTATGAGCGTATGTATGGATGAATAGTTTTAGGTATAATTTCGACTCAAATATATGGACACAGTTAAAGCTAAGCGAACGGCGTTTTTTTGAACATTAGTTAGTAGTAGTCATTTATTGGATGCTTCGTCCCCGTATGTGCCGTTAACAGGTTGGCTACGATGCTGAGCTGAAATAGTGGGCATTCATTTCTTGGTCGCAAAAAGCGACGAAAACACTCAGGCCCTAGACAAGAGCCAGCTCCACGTGGCAGGATCAACGTGCCCTCTTAGCACTCGAAGTTTCTCGTTGTTATCGCGTGCCAAGTAAAAAGGTCTGGCACAGCCGCTAGTGTCGTGTTTATTCAATCTTCGCGTATGAGTAATTTCGGCTAGATCGTTTGCATGACTGCAGTAAGTAACAACTAACACACATATTAATTGGTCGGTAATTTATACTGGAAAGTTTTTTTTTTTTGTTTTTATATCTAATACTTAAACTTCTTACTACAAATAACATTAATTCATTTAATTGAGACTATTTTATTTATTTGAATATACGTACACATTTATTATTCTGAACCGTCTTTGGATTACGAATTACATTTAATTTGCATTATCTTTTATGTATCGCATAGGAGATCCTATATTGGCTTCTTAGCAGATCTATTTTCTATGTGTCAACACAGAGAAACAAGAGAATTTCTTAAACGAATAAAATCCTGAATGCCCTAAACCATAATAAAAGAAACAGGTTGAGGGCGCAGAAACCTAATTTATGTAGGCCGTTGCGCTGTCTCCTTACGACATCTCTAACGAGGAGTGAACTTTACCGAACAGTTTGGTAGTCTAGTTCTACAGAAAACCTATGTGTATCCTTAAAACGCTGCTACCGGAACTACTAACCTTTTAATAAATACGCACAATGGTAATAATAGCATGTTTTCAGGTTAACGAACATAATTAGGCGAGCTTTTACCGCCCCGTTCGTGCTAAAGAGATAGTCATATGGAGCATAGGGAATTTTAGTGCTAATGCTTTCAAATGAGAACGTCCCAAGACTTGAAGGTTCCATGTATATAGAATTTTAGGACAAAACAGTCCTTTTTGATTTTGCAGGGCAGTGAAATATACTACAAAAGCAAATACACCGAGACAGTGCGGGACGACACCGTAGTCTGCTCAAGTCGAGCTAAAAAGGTTTAGCTTATGCCGATTTGTGTGCTAGTAAATAAATACCTAGAATAAAAATAGTACTTAAATAGTAGGACGAAAAAGGAGTTCGCGATAAACAGCGAGGGTTCTAAAAAAGTGAGAAAACATATCTTTGATTTGTGCATTCTGTGCCGTGTTATGGGTCCTAGAGCCGTCAGCCTGTATTGCCCGAGTCGGACCGAGAAACATTTGTTTTTGGAAAAGTCAATGCCGTACACGTTCTTATTCTAGAAGCTAATCATGTAATACATATCTCCTAGAAATATACGCTTTTTGCACTTTATCGTAGTACTCTCGTTTCATCTTCTGGAGGGAAACGATGAGAAATCTCTAACTAAACAAGCAGTGCGTTTCTTAACTTTTTCTGCAGTAGCTGGTTTGATAATTTGATCTAGTTTTAAATATTCCATTTTTATTGCTATACAAATTCCATTCTACCGAAACAGTTTCAGTTGGCACCTGGAGCAATGTCAGCTTTAGCATTGAGTATCCAGTGTAGATGCTTTCGTACCTACTGTTACTTCACACGGACACTCGAGGTAACCTCTAAAAGCAACAACGTAAAACGTACAGAAAATGAAGTATTCTAACATTAATTATGTGTCCGGAGCTCAGTTATTGTACATGGCAAGTTTACAGGTTTGAGTGTTCATGACGTCTATGAAGAAGTAAAATTTTTACATCGACCACGACCATCGATCGAAAACCACCCGAAATATAATGTTTGATATTGTATCAGCTGTTCTATATCGAACGCATTAATATAAGCTGATTTGTTCCAGTCCAAATAATAACGCCCCTATGATATAAGGAAACTAATCTTCTACTAGAAATATAGGCCTTTTGAGACGGCGCATTAATCCATCAAGATTTTTCATTAAAATTAAAGGTACACGTCTTTCTCTAAAACTATTGGAATTACTACGCAGTTGGCTTTTTCTAGTGAATGACCAGTAAAGCAAACATTTTTTGCTTTACAGTTCTATCGGACACTTTTTTTTATTGCTCACCACTAATAATAGTTTAGAATAAGATTCGCTTTTTAGGCAATTAAAGCTGACGTTGTGTCGGCTTTGCTGTCTGTCATCACGTGAGTCGGAAGGACTGTTTTAGAAGATGCTGCTGTAAAGCCACCAGCATCAAAGATTCTTCGTTAAAAAAGACTCTATTAATCTATCATGATCTCTTGCCAGAGACTCCTTGCTTTCGATTGCAGGATATTCTAAAGCTAAACACTCGTTTTAAGGCGTCAACTGTGTCTCACGGGTATAAAAATTTTGTCGTAAATGTTTATAGTTTCAAATAACTGCTTTTGCACGCAGGGCATATATTTGGCGTGCGTTGCGAAACGAGGCAGTTGAAGCCTCATCTCTACTTGGCGGAGATTTCAGGTAAGGAATTCACGTCCTCCCCGTTTTACTGAAGGTAACAGTTGGCACCTAATAAGGCCACAGGTGGCTACAGCACTAAGGAAATTGTGGCCTGGAACGTGGGCAGCGTTTTCTGTCTCTATCAGCCGTGTGGTTATTTTAGATCAAAAAGTTTACCGGGTTTAATGTACAAGTATGTTGCATGGTATTTACATGGCTTCACAGCGAATAACGCTAAAAGCGAAGAGGTTGTTCTAATGATCTTAATCAAAATGAGAATTTACGCTTGAGGAGGCGTGTGTGAAATAACTGCCTTCACATCTGCATTACATTTACATTGCTATTAAGGCTATAAGTGAATCATAGGACTAAGTGGAAGACTCTCCCATTGTACTAATACTATGTTTTATTAGATTTTCGAAGATAGCTTGCATTCAAGGTAGGACTGTATGAGGGTTGGCTCGAAGGATAATGATTCTTCATTCTTCCTTCCGTTTTTGCATGTCAAGCACGCCTTTATAAATAACATCGTTTTTATTAGTTGTACATACATACCGCCATTCGTCATGAAAGAGGCTGGTGCGTACGTCATTCTGTGCTGTTTTGTGGCTGGCTCATGCGAAGCTGTTACCTTAACACCAGAATCTGAAGATCTTTTCGGTGGCCAAGGGACGTTTGCGCAACCTGCATGGCCACTTAGGTGGCCTTTCCAATGGATACCGTGCCGCATTGCCTTGATACGTAAGTTTTTCATACTTGCGAACGACAAAAAGGGTATTCAACTTGCTCATTATGAGGAAGCGCTGTACAAGTTCAGTAGTTTTTCCTAGTAAATAGATAACGGATGCTGATGTTGCCACATGCTTCGTGCTCTTTAGGGAATACACTTTTATTCTTACTTGATTAGTGGTGTGAACCCGGTTAACTTAATAGTTTCATAAGGATTTGGTAAGCTGGTTGGAGAAATGATGTCAACTATTTTGTGTTACGTTTTGTTTCGCTTGTTTCTAACGTGGGCTGCTCAGCCTAAACATTTTAGTTCGAAGAAGTGAGTTTGTGTATGGTCAAGATATCGTATGTTGTGTAGCTTAAATTAGGCAACTTAAAAGTTGTAGTTGATATTGATGTTAAAATTTTGCTGGCACAAGAATTGACTAGCGGATATAAAGATGCAGTCATAAATCCAAGTATTTTTTGTTTTATCTGCATAGTTGCATCGGTCTGTATAGCGAAAAAGAAACTAGGCTGGCTGGTAAAGGTATCAAAGCCGCTTCGGAACGCAACCAAACGAAAGAAGTTAACATTAAGTAATATTTACATTTAAATTGCAAACATGATTGACTAAGTAACGGAATAATAATAATAATGGATAGACTAATGAATATGTACACGATACTAATTACGAGATCTTATTGCACGCTGTGTGCTTCTAGAACTGGGTACCCCATTCGCTAGTGATTTTCTACGATATTGAGTTTTAACTGCACAAAAATGTTTCTGTTGGCATCTGCTTAACTTACTTTAATTATCCGAGTATAGGCAAGTCAGTTTTAAGAATCCTCCAGCTTCGGCAATGCGTCGAATCTAGTAGCGATCAAGAGAAAAAATGGAATGGAAAAAATTGGCGTTCTCTTTGTTGTACGTTGATCAGCCGTTTAGAGCGGTCACTGATCCTTAACCATTCGTTTAATGACCAAGAAACTAATGGATAATGGTTATATTAGAATTTGTTCACGATTACCTGAATTTTTTCATGTACAGGCCACCAAATTACGTGTGTCCTTGACGTGACACAAAATCATACAGATCCGTCTACACACATCTTTAGATATGAGATAAAGGTGGTTCTCCCGAAATGCCTCCATCCTGGAGAACATCTCAAAAGCGTCGTAGATCAAACAAATTCCAAATTTCTGTTAAACACGTTTTTCTCCATATTTAAAACGCGAAAAAGATTCAGCAGAATCGCTAGTGCCTACAAGAAGTCGCGATACACTGTGACTTATAGTGATGTAATGATTAGTAGTTTATGGTCGATGTACACGTTTAAATATGCTTTTGGATTACTAAAGATATCTGTCGAAGCTAGCAAGAAGAAGTGTGCTTACAGTTAGGATAAATGTCCGTTTACTGCTAGAGCTTCTTTGCACATTTTATCACTGCTACTTTTACCTTTTAGTCCGATTTCGCTTTTTACTATATATTCTTTACAGCATATGTGGATGAGATGCTTCTTGTGTGAAGTTCTGGGTGAAAGGTACGCTATTACAAATGAAACTATAAGAAATCTATACTCATTTATGTTATTTTGCAGACCCTGATTCTACAGATTGCCGTTCAAACAGGCCCAAGGAGGTGTCGGATAAACACCAACGCGATGATTCTGAACAAAGTTTGTCAGATTCACGTTCTGAGAAAATACGACCAATCACCACAACTGCCGTTCCCGAAGGAATTTTACGCCTTGAAAGTGGCCCGAAGCAGAGTTCTATCACCCCTGATGGAATCCCGAGCCATGACGATGCGTGGAAGCCCAGTTCCACTACTCCCGGAGAAACCTTAGACCGTGAAGACGGTGCGATGGTCGGTTCCACGACTGCCGAAGAAATTTTAGCTCGTGAAAACGATTTGAAGCTTAATTCCGATATTCCCGTAGGAATCCTAGGCCATGAAGATGGCCCAAAACTGAGTTCCACAACATCCGAAAGCATCGGAGGCCGAGAAAATGTCTCGAAGCCCAGTTTTAGCACTCCCGAAGAAATCCTAGGGCATGAAGACGGTCCGAAACCATGTACTATAAACCACAGTAAAATCGTAGGCCATGAAGATAGTGCAGAAACTAGTTCCACTACCCCCGGAGGAATCGTATGCCTTGAAGACAACTCAAAGCTTAGTTCCGTTTCTCCTGAAGGAACCGTAAGCTATGAACTTGGCCCGAAGTTCAGTTCCGTTACTCCCAGCGGCATTCAAAATTATGAAGATGCTTTGAAACCTAGTTCTACAACTTTCGAACGAATCGTTGGCGCTGCAGATGGTTCGAGGCTTAATTCTACCACATTCAGAAGGATTCTAAGCGGCAAAGATAGTCCCCTGCCAAAGTTGACCAGCGCCGGAGAAATCATGGGTCGTGAACACGGATTGAAGCCGAGTTTCATCACTCTCGGTAGAATTCTCAGCACCGAAGATGGTACGAAGCGTAGTTCCATTACTCCCGGAAGAGTAGTAGATCGAGAAGGTGATCCGAAGCCCAGCTCCACTGTTCTTTCAGGAGCCCTAAACCTTGAAGACGGGCTGAAGCCGAGTTCTAGCCTTCCCGGAAGAATCGTAGATCGAGAAGGTGGTCCAAAGCCCAGCTCCACTGGCCTTGCAAGAACCCTAAACCTTGAAGACGGACCGAAGCCGAACTTTATCACTCCCGGAGAAATCATGGGCCGCGAAGGTGGACCGAAGTCTAGTCTTATTACCCTCAGAGGAGTCCTGGGCCGTAAAATAGGTCGAAGCCAAGCTCCGCCACCTTCGAAGGAATTATCAACCCTAAAGGCAGTTCCAAGTCAAGTTCCACTATATTCGGAGGAACAACAGGTGCTGAAGACGGACCGAAACCCAGCTCCACTATACCCGGAGAGACCCTAGGCCGTGAAGGTGGTCCGAAGCCGAGTTCTATCACCTTCGAAGAAATCATGGACCGTGGAAACGGAACGACGCCATACTCCAGTACCCTCGAAGAGGTCAAGGGCCTTGAAGACGGACCGAAGCTGAACTCTACAACCCCCGAAGGAATCCCAAGCCGTGGGGGTAATACGAAGCTCTGTTCTACGACGCCAAAGGAAGTCGTAGGCCGTGAAGGCGGCCCGAAGCTCAGTTCTACCACTCCTGGAAGAATCCTTGGATGTATGATGAGTAATTGGTGGTAACGTGGATTAAAAAACTACAATTGAAATTACCGACTCTGGAAAAGTACGCGAAATTAATTTAAGTGTAGATTATAACTGAGTGTCTCCTAAACATTCCTTAGCAGATAATAAATATTAATATACTAACAATGGAACAGTAGCCCAGCAGGGCAAATACACAAAAACAACTAGATAGGGCAATAACATTTTGTGAGTTTACTATTCGTTTAATTATTCAAAGATAAATGTAATTATAAGTATATGATGGACCATTTTAGTTTCCTCGCTGCTTCGTATCTCTGAATGAGAACCGTGGTTTTTCGACAAACTCAAGTCCATCACCTGATGACGGCACTGGTTGACTTGATTCTGAAAATGCGAATACCCTCGCTGAGAGCAAATGAGAATACACATGAGTTAGTTAAGAAATGACGCCTTGGCTTATAACCCAATCAGAGTAGATAACTCTCTAAGTTTAATCAGTTGTAACCATATTTACGGTTCGCGTTCAGGGTGTTTTTTTCTTGCTACTATTGAGAATCAAAACTTCCACACAATGTTTGAATACTGAGAAACATTTATAAAGGACTTATATTTCCTCTATATAAATTCAATTGTTGGAATCCTCACAAGCATTCGCATCGTTTCGATATTAAACTAACCTATCTCATGTTCTGTTAAGCAGACATATAATAATAAGCAGTCGAGGCAAAAAAACTTATGTAGCTTTTTAGCTAGCGATCTGAGGTAGTTAGTTGAGGTCAATGGAGTACAACCTGTTTGCTAGAGTTCAGACAGAAGAAGAGATTAGATCTGTTCACTCATTACATACCGTGTGCTTTTCCATGAAACTGATTTTTATAGATGGAGGCTGACTCGTCTAAAGTTCGAAACAAAGAATTAAAGATGTGCATAGAGCGTAGTTGTCTGCATCTAGCAGCGCATAAACAATGTAAGAACGAATGCTCTACTCAAGATTCACAGATTTGTGCAGTTAGAACCAGTTATGTCAGAATAACGATCAAAAAACGATGCAGATAGATAAAGGGAACCTTTGTGGATTATGTAGATAACGGTAGCCTTCTCTGTAACTTGTGCTGACAGAATAATCAGACTTCTGTCATCGTAGTGTTAAATTTACAGTTCGAATATGACTGGTTAAATACAGAAACGCAACGGTTCACAAAAAGCCACAGCCTCTGCTTAGACGACTTATGGCACTTATGTGGGGCCATGTGATCCTGACGATCCTTCATCCATCCTTGTATGTGAACAAATCTTTTGTTACAATATGACGCCTGCACGTAGGCAAAGTATCTGTTCCGGTTTTACTCAATCTCCACTATACTTAATTTTAAAGAAATGATCTAGTGTAATAAATTGTGGAACGACAACGTAAAGCCCCACACTTCCTTGTAGAGCACGAAATCTGCCTCTTTCTATACAGTCACCCTGTACTGCTAGTGTGGTCCTAGGGTGGTGTCCGCCCATCGCCCACCGTCGGGATATAAACAATTCAGTACTTCAGCCTCCAGTGGCTTTTCAATTTTCAAAAACATTTGCATAAGGCTAACAGCGCTTGGCTCTGGTCCAACAAGATCTCAAACATTAATGCATTGAAGAGATTTGCCTCGATTAGCAAAAGTATTGCCTTGTTTTACCAAGGTGCTCACGTAGTCTGAAAATACAGCATAGTGGTCGATGCATGACGAGAACTGTATGTGCACGACGAAGTGCTGGTCCCAGTGGCATCTCATTTCTTCAACACAACGAGGTAGAATATGGCCGCTTTTTTTTTAGGAGTTTTTGGAAGTCTCTCCTTCCCTTTTGGCAGAGCACAGCTCCGCCGGCCTTTCCCACCGTCCTGGCAAGTATGACGAGTTATCAAACATACCCAAATTAATACAGACGTGCATAGTATTATCTTGTTGAAGTGTTTCGATCGAAGGAAAGTGGAGTGAATTCAACGAAGTGTTGCACCGCTAACAACCTCGCATGATCTATTACCGTTATATGTGGAGTCACATAATGTACTTGCTTCTTTGAAGGGTCCACGCTTTCTGGTGTGATTTCTCGTCATCCGTGTGGAAAAATTCTTTGAGTTGCTCAAAGGCGTGCGTCTACGGCACACCCGTAAGGTGGCGGAAAGCGTAGGTAGGCCTTTTTCGGAAGACATTCTCTCACAAAGTCATAGGCGAATTGAAGTATAAGGCTGCAATAACGGTAACTACAGACTCAACAGGTAAAGAGCTTTAAAGCACCAAGCGCGACTTGCAACCACGCCTAATTACTCATGGCTACAGGCAGAGTCGTATTGAATAAACTCGCTACCGTTTTCACTGCAAGTTCACTGTAAAGCTTTAAAACGTCTCAGACCGGGGAAAAATCCGATAAAATTTGAATTTTGACAATGTTTCAATAGAAATGCATAGTTTCTAAACAGGGAACCCGCCTATAAAAGCTTTAATCTCGGATTATATATTAACGATATAATTATGGAAATATTTGATAGGATTGCGTTTTCCCAGTAATAGTAATAATCGCTTGAATGTTTAAAGATTTTGATCTTCATATTTACTGCATTTAGGAATCGTTCTGAGTAAGTGCATTGATGATTACCTCGTGATACTCGTGAGCCTAGCATGGTTTGCGATGGCTTAAACGGGAGCGTGACCTCTCGTCCGGGAGATCCTTGGCGGACAGCAGGCGGGAGTTCCGGGGTAGCTGTTTCTTCGTGATCGGTGTTTCTCTAAATACGAATATTTAAAATATCTTCTAGTATGTATTCTTGATATCATTCTGGTGCGGCTCATATACTCCGTTCCTGTATGCTTATGTATCTTATATGCCATCCGTAATAATATTCGACGACCAACTGCGCATATACGAGCAACATGGTTTTTCATGGAAGTAGGGAGTGCTAATTTTTACAAGATCCCTGTGGTCTATGATGACACTTTGGGCGTCGCCAAACCCACATCGTTTGATATCTGTATCTGATAACCAAAATATGTTTATCGCGACGCGTCTGTCGACACTACTATCGATCGCCAGGAGGCATGGAAAATTGTATTAGCGGGTTCCTAAATAATTGTACATACTTCGCAAATTTTATTCGATTTTTTAATATTTTCGGCACTGTATTATCTACCTCTTATCTCATTTAATCACAATTGGAAGGCCTATCGAGCTACAACCTAATACAGTAGCTAGAAAGGAAATAATATTCACGTTGACTCGCGAAGATTATAAGGACATTTTCCTACTTACCTACTTTCCGCTATTTGTTTAGTGTCAATTCAAATATGTTTCAAACTACCCAAGCTTTGATTACGTTTGCATCACACTGCAGTAGTTGATCAAATCAAAAAAAAAAAATGATACATTTTTGTCCAAACGTAAGCCAAAGACCTTGCGAAGCCTCGTGCGAGACGTACTGATAGCTGATAAACTGTCGAAGCATTTCGATAACCTTAAAAGGGCAAACAAGCGGCTTGATGCCACTACAAAATATGAGTATCATTCTGTTTCGTAGTACACGTGATATATACCTCGTGTGCGCTGAGTTGTTGAGATGACGGAGCTCGATGTGGCCTAAAGCTGAACGTTTTTCTGGATTTTATCTGTGGTACTGTGCTGTTACCTTCTTCGCGAGAGGTCGCTGCCTGCTGAGTGTCAGGTTCTTGAGTGGGTATCGATTGCAGGCTCAACTGTGTAATTTCTCCTGCATACCACATACAATAACAAATGAATTATTTGAATATGATTTGCTGATGATGTAGCTAAACATTTTTTCCTCGGTGAAAAACATGAAAACAGTATAGGTACTCAAGGAAAAGTAATCACTGGCGATCAATAAGCGAGCATTTGGCTCGTTCAAGCGCTCCCGTTGTTTCGATGCAGAACACCCAGTAGTCGAACTCGGGTCTACTTTGCAAAGCCTAAGGCATCTACGGCAGGCACCTACGTTTCCTTTCGGCATTCCATCCGCATTATTTTTGGCCAATGTAGGGACATTCTGCCACAGTGCAATTCGGCTAGCTTTTCATTCGCTCGGCCACCTCGTATCATTTTTGGCCTTCCAGAGGTCCAACCAAAAGCGTGGTAATACGAGCATGACGTGGTCAGTAAACAACCTTGAAGGGGAATCTCATATATTACTATCTCAATAGATTTGCTCAGGCGTTATAAGATAGTTATGCGAGTGACGACGTGTAATTTCCGATAGGTAATATTATGGACAAATGTATGGATCTTCGTGATTCGCAGATGCTGCGAACAGAACACAAGTTACTTATGAAAAGGGAGGGTGTGTAGTCGACAAAACATCTGACAATTAGTGGAACTATGGCGTACGCCACCTACATTCGGAATAGAAAAATTACAATGAGAAAAAGCATACTGGCTACTCATGCGAACATCGTAACTTGTAAATTAATCTACGAATAAAAAGCTGATGTATATATAAATCCAATTTCATTTTTGCTATTAAAGGTTTAAGTAATATGGAATGGTACCTGAAAGCTAAGGGTTGGTTTTAATATGTTTGTGGAGTACCAGCTGCAGAATACGATTAGTAGGAACATAACTATTCAAAACTCGGACGCGCCTAGTTCAAACCGTACACTGCCAAAAATTAAAAGTCAAATTGGGTTGCTCATTCAAGAAAAATTTTCATCGTTTACCTCAGATTTAAGGTGGTGGAACAATCCAATTCGTAGAGTGGTATGACGTGGACTAGATTCGGGATCGGGAAGTCAGTTTACGTCTCTCGCATATTTTAAACAGACTTTAGGAATGCGTTTGAGCGGATCATCAAAAACTGCGCCAAGAAACGTTCTGACTCTATAGGTTTCTTTAGCCAATTTAGATTGTGTCAAACTTGGCCATAAGTCTCCTGTGGGATTGCAAACGTGGCTGAGGCAAGGCTTTGTATGGATGCAATCCTAGATGCTTAATCTGCGCCACGAGTACCCCGGTGGAACGGTTGTCACTATTGATGTGACTATAGTTCAACGAAATTTTGTTCGGGAACCTTCAGTATATATCGCATCAGATTTTGGTTTCATATGTATGAGAAGACTCATTGAAATTCATTATTGAACTTCGCAAATGCAGACAACGGATCCATGCATTTCAATTGTTTCTCAGTAAACAGCTTTGGCAGCGACGGAGATGCAATTCGTTCATTTCATACTAAAAAATACTTTTACTGAAAAACATCACGGTGACGACTGCGTTTCTGGATGCGACATCTCCTCTGAATTGGACTATGCAGGTCAGCTGCAGAGTGCCTTCCGTCTAAAGTTAAAATAGGACCTGCGTTTGATGTTTCAGTGCCTGAGCAACATTCTGAACATAAAATATTAACATATATCTTTTGTGAATCAGACCTTAGACCGACTTTTATTGTAGCACTATTTACCTGGCGTCTGAACTATTTTAAGAATGTGTCTTCCTTGTGGCAACTCGACTGTCTCTCCGACCGGTTGTAATCTCCTTATTGGCGGCTGTAAGTAGAAAAACGAAAAAAAAAAAAAAAAAGGTAGATACCCAAATACTATTTGCTTAGAATAATACAAACCAAGACGTTAAGGGAACTTTTAAAACCCATTTTCAATTTCAATTTTAAAAAAGTACGCGCACATATCTGTACTCTAATACAGCAAAAAAGCCAGTACGTGAAGTAAAAAAGAAACTACAGTTTTAAATGTATCATTTTTTTCGACCTTCCAAAAAATAACCCCGCTGCGTTATAATTTTAACCTTAAAGTTACGTACTGACACAGAATTTTGAAATATCTTTAAAAAAAGCAATTTTGTTAGCCAAAAAATTATAGAATTAGACTCACTAAGGTGCACCTCTTTGATTTAAAATACACAGGGCGTATGGCTAAAAGACGTCGGCAGGACGAAAAGGTAAGACCATTTTAATTAACGCGCAATCTCTGACGCATTTAGGTAACTTGATGATACCTAGAGGCGTCGTAGAAACTTTATTGTAAAAAAGTTGCTCGAGAAATGAGACCGTCTACAAAAACGAGTAGCGATGGTGTATTAATTTGAGATTTTCTTGTTAAAAACAGGCATCTTTTAATATGATTTTAAAGCAATGGCAAATAATAAAAGTAGTTTGCACTTCTACGCAATATAACAATAATAATCTGAATAATGAACGGCGGCAGAGCCAACTAGAGTTTTAATAGAAAAAAATTATTTTTCCCATGTAAGTTCATGCGCTGTTTCATGATATGATTTCAAGTTTAAAAACTCAAATGAATAGCAAGCTTTGTTACCCTTTCAGTAATAGTTATCGATCAATCTATAGCACTTGCATAATTTTTAAAACATTCGATCCTTTAAAAACTTTTTGTATCTCTTTTGTGACAACGACATTGTACCTCAGCATTTCAGAAAACGTTGGCGATTGTAATTCTCGACGATTTGATCACGCAAATAAATTAAGACCTAGATGGAACCTGTCATCAGCTCCACTCAGCCACGTTATTTAAAGTTCTCGTAACAAACAGAGGTGGTTCGTATCGGACACCTCGTGGTTCCAGCTGCACCTAACTAGATTCAAATGTTCCACCAGGAGCTGTGGTAGCTAAAATGACGAAACGATTAGGAATGGGTATTGGCATTCGATAATAGTTCCACAGTTTATACATTTTCTAAGCAAAGGCACGCACCCTGGATAAACGCAAGAGTACATGCTGGCCTCCACTCGTAGTCACCACTTCGTACAACGGACCAATCGTTGGATCTGAACCTTTAAGACCATCGCTGAACTGCCTCCTTCTGACAATGATATGATTGTTTAATAAAATATTAGGTGGGCTCATTGTCGATGAAACCAGTCTAGTGGGAACACGATTCGTCCCAGGTCTAATAGTCACTCCTGCTGGAAAAGCATCCAGTTTCGAGCGGTCTTCGTCAAAGTCACCAACTTGTGAGACCTGAAATTAGGACGCAAAATCCACATTACTAAACAATATATACGTTGATTTAGGTTGTTAGAGGAAAATGCTAAGATTAAATTGAACGAACCGTAGCCATATTTCACACGCGAATATTATTTTTAGGGAGATCTAATCGGAAAATAGTTGAAGAAAAAAATCAATGCTGCCGTTTCGTATGGAAAGCGTCGTTAGAAGCAAACCAATCATTTTTTGAATGTTATATCCTTTGAGTTTAGTCCTCTTAGTGAAAATCTCACCGTTTTTAGCTTCTAGTCGCACGATTCATCATTTACATAGGATAATGCCCCTAAAATTCTAGTCTAACCGAGGAATTTTCTGAAGTTTTAGAATATTCCTATTTTTAACTAATTAGTCCTTTCGTTACACACGGTTCTTGCTGCTTTGTCACTCAGACAAATTTGCTTTTCTCCGGCACCAGACCAGGCGATCCACGAAAGGACCATCCGGTCACCTAAGGTCAGTCGCAGAACAACACGTTCTGGGTGGTAATGGCCTGTCCGAAATACTTCGAATGTCATAGGTAAAAAAAATTTCAGTACTAGTTATTTAGCTGATGCTAGCAATAACCTAGACAAAGTAATCATTATTCTTATCAGTAGCACTCATTGGCTAAAATGACTGATAACAAAAGGCTATAATGGCTATATAAAGACAGCGCTGAACTTCGACAGTATTTTGATGGCTATTATCGCATTGATTTTTTATTATATATTTTGTTGTAACTTTACGACGGAAGAAGCTGTATGTGGCACGCACAACAAACACTCTTCGCAAAATAAAAGCGACCATATTTCCTTTCCTCTGATAAGGGAAGAATATTTTGGCCTGACCCTGGTCTCTAATATGGGACTTCTGTTCCTATCGGTTCCGGACTAGGAAAGCTTAACATTACTATGTAATAATTATAAGCGATAAATAAAGCAATGTGAATTATTGCTTCTATGTGGAAGTTCGCTACCCAGATAGCGTACTCAGAAATCATTCTACCAGGAAAAAAAGCATCAGAAAGCTAACACGGCGTTTAAGGCTTGAAACTCAATCGGATCTGTCCTACTGGAAAATAAACGACGGCGCACGACTCCCTGCCGTTAAATAGGTAATAAATACACAGTCTATGATTTTGTGTAAATAACCGTATCTATCGAGACATTCTACATGTATCGGGCTGACGAAAAAGGTACTATATATTATCTTACTTTGGATTGGAACAGCATGTTATTGTATGTGTAACTTCTATTTACTAGCTGGAAACGGTGCCTATTTTCCATTGAAACTTGTACTTGACTAGACATTGCACTTTGCTGGATTAAGCAATTTTTTTTTAATTATTAGTCAACATTTGATATAACTTGACTGGCAGTCACAGAAATACTACTCGAATACCTAAAATACAATGAAAATACAATAGAAATGCAGTCTCCCTTCCATGGTTGTAACTTGAAAGAGTAACTCATTAGGAGTAGAAGTTAGGCCTAGACCTACAAAGAATGCGGTGAACGGTCCACTACGGTTTGCATTTAGTGCCCCTTTGTGGTATGATACCCGGTTTTGCGAAAGAGTAATTATCAGCTGCAGTTAGCTCACCTGCGTAACGAGGCGTTTTACCGGTACAGAACGGGCCAGAGCGGAACTAATAACCGGTCGGGTTATTTGATCACCAAAAAGTCGAACGGGCGGTGGGGGCGATGCAGACGTAGATAAGATTGGCGGATGATGGGGGTTCGCCCTGAAGTATTATGGCCGACGCACGAGTAAATCTGATAGTTTTGTGATCACAATCCAGGCCAAAAGCTAATATGTTACAGATCTATTACCCCAGTTAGCGTAGCGGACAATGTTATTCTATGTAAGCGGAAACTGGCTAATGGCTTTGATTTGGAAACAAGTAGGAAAATGTAAAAAGAATAATAGCCATTGTTTACAATCATGGCATTCAATTTATATACTTTGAGTACGAGGCTTCTCTATTCGAATCTGGTAGTTATTTTAGTACATTATACTTTGTGCAATACTCTGTGTGTAGTGCTATACTTTGTGCTTCCCAATTTAGACCAATATTAGCCATTGCATTACATGGAAAGCTTCATTTTGTTTTTCTATTTTATTTTAACCATCAAGTCCCCAAAGTGTTTTTTTTTTAGAATTTTTTTTACAGTTGGATAAATTTGTTCTCAAACCTAAATATTCCAATCTAATTTATAAAATTAAGCGGACTTATTTGATGATCTGACCTTGAAGTAGCAAGTACCCAAATGTTTTCAGCTACTTACGTCAATTGCGGTGCTTCTGTTGCTGGTCTTTCTTGCTCGAGATCATTTTGCTGAAACCAATTAAGAAAAATGGCAGCCGAGCCGTGTTAATTTGTAGACTGTAAAACATAGAATAGTGAAACCATCTTCCTTATGCAGGAGAAGTATCGTTATTTTACAAAAAAAAAAAAACAATTTCTTATTGTACGGAAAGCAGGTAGGTAGCCGGCGTATAGTTTACCTGATGTCGATAAACTGCTTTTTTTAAATTTAACAATTACGGCCGTGCATGACGTCTAAGTAAAGCTCGCCATCTTTTCCGAGGTATTATTAAAATTAGGGAGATAGTCCTACTACGACGCACTTAACCTAATTGGTCTATAATACCACAGCATAGTCGTAATGACAAAGATATTCATATTTAGAGATATTAAATATTATGGCAAAAACGCACTCTAAATACTTAACTGTAGAACCTAAAGCTATCCTTTTTCTTTGACGTTAGCGTTGTGTATGATCTTAGAATGTGGTGTTAAGCAAACTTTGTGACGCAATCTGGGTCTGACGTGATCTATTAATCGGTTATTACATACGTAGAAATTTGGAATATTCGGCATCTAGTTATTATTCTTTTATCGGTTAGCTGTAATAAAACAGATTTCTGTATAATGATAGGCGGCTTCACGGTAACACGGTTTGAGAGCGAAATGATATTGTACGACATATTGAGTCGTTATTAAACCTCGATTATAGAAAGTTTCAAATGTAAACAACGTCTCAAACAGTTAGATATAGGGATTTTCATAAAAACTTACTATGGAATCAATGCAATGAGCGACTTCGTTCACCTTGAAGTTTTCGTTATTTGAAGAAGCATGAGACACTTTCAACTAAATTGAAAATATTTATTTGAAAGTGTCTCATGCTTCTACATGTAATAGATATTAAACTATATATTTGAAAGTATATATGTTGAAGAAAAGACGACCGAGCTCTAAACGATTAAATGTACTAGAAGGACGAAACGACTGGCCATCGGTGTTGCATGAAAGCCAGGGACAATAGCTGTTTTCTATGTAAGCTACATAAAAATGGGACACGTCATTTTTTCTGCAGGAAGGAGACCATTGTAAATTATATCCGCGCAACTTAACTATGAAAAATAAGGAATACTGTTGAAAAACTGAATCTAAGGAAGCTGTCTCTCAGCTTACAGGTTCATTGAGAGCTTTTTCAGGTTTAAAAATCTGGTCGGTAACGCTGTTATTGTCGTCGTTTCCAAACGAACAGCAGACGTTTGACGTAACCTGGTCACAATAGCCTATGGCAGCACCTCCAGTCACGATGCATTCCCAGTATGGCAAACATGCGCACTGTTTTCCTATAAAGTGACGAAAAATATATGTTTAGCTATTTAAATATTATCGCTAGCCGTAAGCAAATAAGAGCTTATGCACAAACCTCTCTGTGACGTTCAATGGTGTCTAACAGAGATAACAAAATATCTGCTGGCGCAAACTCAAATAAAAAATTGTTCCTTTTTATGACATGTGTCTGTACATGAGAAGCTCTTTGAGCACTCGGAAACAGATAGTGCCTTAGTCGGGCGTTAACTTCTATTTCCACGGTGCAAAGGAGCTTAAACCAACAAATTGGAAATGCCAATACACATGCTTCGTTAGGTCTTCGATCGGCCAATTAGGTACGCATAGGTAAGTTCACAAAGTGGTTAAAGACTTGTCCTTTTTCGATTCGCTGAAGACTAACCGGGAAAAAGGCAATTTGCTTATAAATGTAAGTTTTTCAAAACATTACACAATTTAAATCCTAAACGTAACCGTTATGGTTACGTCTCTATGAAAAAGTGTACATTTCAATTGACTTAATGAAAAGTTTTTCTACTCTGTTGTCTATCACTAATACTTTTTCCATTACTTAAAGCTTTTTGTAAGGCCCCCTTGCATACGCTTAATGAAAAGAGCCGCATCAATAGACAACAAAATTATTATAGCATTTACCTGAAGTTTTATGTTAAACTATCTTTTTTCACAGCCCATTTGGCCATTGTTCATTACGGTTTTGATGTCATGAAAATTTCCGGAAGACATTTTTTAATAACTCAAAATCTTCTAAGGTCCTTGCGTACAATAATAGGCTCAAAATTTATGTAGCTAACAACAAAGTATCGAAAATTCGCTAAACGTGTTTATTGTATGTTCCTATTCTATTGTATATGCATTAACTCTGTATAAACTGATATGTCTGTACGCCATGCAGGATACTACCCAAAAAGCTTCGCGCAACTATGTAGGGAGTTCCTACCTATTTTACTCCACCCCAAGATAAGCTAAGTTGGCGCAATACAGCTCACACTCGCACAGTCGCCCACGTCTACCAGTTGGGTGACGCTCACCGACCCAATTGACCGACCTCGCCCCAATTTTTCGCGGCTACGTAGAGGCGTTCTGATTTCTGAGGCGACTCAGCCAACGCGAGTGCTATTCATGTGTCAACATTAATCCAGTTAGTGTGATAAGATGATACTGACCAGCCGTCTCTGCCGGGGCCTACATATGGCTTACCATGTTTATTAGAGAAGTTACAAGCTAACTTTTGATATGCCTAGAATAACGGGGTTTCAGTAAAACGCGAGCAGTGTGCAGCAGCATTGATAATGAATAATCATAGTCAAATTTTAACATCTGATCTAAATATAACTGAGTGAGGCTCATATCAGAGCCTAATGAGACATTTTCTCTTGAATCCTTAATCATCCTTAATTTAAGTTGCCATCCCAACAGGTCCAAGATGTCTGAAAACAACGCTAACAGGCATTAATGTGCTGGTAGCAGAATACTGCGCTCAAAAACAAATATTTTCGAATTATTGCATAAAAATAGGCGTTGTTTACAATCACGATATAACAGTAACAAAAAAACAATCGGCTTGATCATTATCAGCGCACATTTCGTTTTCAGCCTTTGGTCTTGTCAGCTTTCTTCAGTTGGTCTCTTTTTGCCACAACTCTACCTTCACTGCATTGTGAGACGTAAATGAAGTTGACAACAATCTCCCAACTCGTGAGCCAAACGGGCACTGACTTTTAACAGAATTCGAACGTGTCTATTGTGTCATTTGCACTGTTAAGGACCCGCGACAAACCATTGTCATCTTTAAGCCATTTCTGTTCAACTACCCAACCTACCAGCGCAACCTGTAGTAACAAGATGGTTCACTTTGCCAAGAGGGGCTCGTGATTCCCGCATGCAGCTATATTGTCTTATGCCGGCGTCACACTTTGCAATGCAACGGGTCTGCTTTACTCACACCGCATCGATGATAACTGGGACATAAGAAACATCAATGAACGCACCTGAGCTGACTTTAGCACCGGCAAACCCTCAGACAGGTGTTTGGCAAAGTAGATAATTGAAACTATTCTTGCCCCATTTGAATATCACCATATTTCTATTTATGTGAACGATATCAGGCGAAATAAATAATCACGCGCAGCGTATACAAACTAAACAAATCGCAGGGTGCTTTTCATGGACAAACGAGCGGAGCAGGCGATATCTGAGAGGCATGTGTGCTCGTTCTCTCTTGTGCGAGTTTTCTATTCGAAATCAAGGGATATTGAGTAGTACTGACAGATGTCAACGTCACCCAAATGACAGTTCACCTGCGCATCGCTAACCGCAACGGAAGTTGCTACGGTTACGTTTCAGTAAGTTTGACAGCGTAGAGAAAATTGGCCAGAAGTGGCAACGTAGAGAACGATACTCGTCCGTGGTTCGCCCGTGACGTGCATAGGATTGGCTGTGTCTGGAGAGCTTGCCGTTGCACTAGGCAGCCCTGTAAGGCTAGCCAACATTTGATTAATTTATCGATCATAAGTACGCGACGTTCGGTGAAAAATAGCCGTCAAAAATTCTGGCAAAATTAACTAAACGGGATTTGTACTTTCTACACTTCGATTCAGAAGAATGGGAATGTTGGCAAAATTTTTGCGATTGAATGACTGCACTCATAAGTCATACTATGGATATTTTTTTGCGATACCGTTTGCACCACTGGTATAATAGGATAATAGTTTTCTACCGGATTTCATTGCCAAAAACGCCGACGTAGCGACCCACCAGGATATCTATCTATAGCATTTCGAAATTTTCCATACTGAATTCGATTATTGCTATTATCGTTATCAGTAGTAGTTATGGCCCATTTTTTACCGGTCCTCACCGCGGAATAGTCTGAATACTATTATTAATGGTAACTCTTATTTACCTAGTAATATTAGTAAATAATATATATATTGGAAGATATATGATCTGTGACGGCGGAATGAGTAATCTGCAGCATCTATAGGCACGAGGCTCTAATCACCATATCCAATTGAGTAATTTTTCCCGTGATACGACTTCTCATTGCCGCTTTTCTAGCATCAATATATATATATATATATATATATATATATATATGCATATGACACACCCTACCCGCCATATTGGTTTCTGCCGAAAAATTTAAGCCGCCGTTAAAGTTTGTTATTTGATCTACTTCGATGCTTGCTTAAAGTTAAAAAAGTTCCCGTTTTTTAGCATTGACTGACGAGTACACAGGTACGGAGTAGGTAGCATCACCACATGAACAATTTATATCAGAATTTACATAATTAACACCATTAAGATAGTGACTATTTACATGCAAGTACCAAACTTGCCAGATTCCGCACATAAGGATTTTATACGACCATAGAAAATTAAACTAACCCAATCCTCCCTTTTGTTATTTTGGATCCTAGGTGTCTATATTTTGACATTGGTCAATCGAATCCTGTGACAGAATTGGTTCAAAATACCTGTTGCGTTTGAAAAGGCATACGCTCATCATAAATGGCTGATTTTCGAAAAACAAATGATTGCTCAGTGATTAATTATTAAAGGTTTGTTGGCAAGTCAGCAGGAAAACATCGGTCCGTCGACACTTACTTTGACAATATCTTGCCGGGCAGTTATTGGCGTGGGACGCAGTTCATCCTGATTGAAGTGCGCTAGCCAAAGCGAAACAATTTTACCTGTAACTGGGGTGTAGTTTTTGATAGAATATGCCCATGGACGTTTGCCCTAGAATTATTCATCGACAAATGGCCTTGTTCAGCGTACAAGTAAAGGTGACCCGTGTCTGTAGTTCTCAAGCTGTCCAAGTCCTCTTTCTGATATTCAACAATGAGCATTACGTTTTCGCGTCAAATGATATAAAATTAGCAATTATAAGTAGGGGCCACATATGAAACAGTTCACACTTATCTAATACATTGTAATGTTTAAATGCAGGCTTTTTAGCGATTTTGAGATACGAAAACGCGTTCTCTATAGCCGCGATGTGCTGCGATCAAATCTACTGCGAATGTAGCAATTGTTAATATACGTAGCGTGGCCGTTTTGATCGGCTGGTCAGTACTATGCCTCGTTGGTAAAATAGTCCTTTGACTAGAACGACATATATGCCTCAGGAGTATACGCATTACGGTACCTTACGTGGTTTTGTTTCGCTTGAAATGGCTGACTTTAACAAGAGCATCTTTGCACAGACAGCTCATACTGAAGCATCATCCCGATCCGTATTGCAGTACCTTTTCGTCGTATCATCGCTTTTGCCCTCAGCAGTGATCGATGTGTTAAATTATTCATTAGGTCCGGTAGTAATATTGCAGACGACATCGTATAAAATATATCCATTGCTCGCCATCTAAACTCTGGCAGAAGTGACTAGAAACAAAAGTATCACGTCTCTGCTAAGATCCAACATAGATTAGGTCTCCTTGGCTTATTTCGAAATAAATAAAAAACCTAAAATACTATCACTAACGTACTGAAATCACAATAATCATAATAAATCGTACTTTCAACCACAGTGGAACGACTACACAGTGTCGGATTAAATCAGATGCTCCACGCACAATCTGGTCTGATATAGTCCCGACAATGAATGACCAGGTAATGCCTCCCGTGCTGATACCGAAAATTAACAAACTTTTTAACAGTTGATGAATTGTAGGCTACATACACAGGTAACAATAAGTGAGCAGCTTCATATTAGTAAGGAAGTGAGGACCCGAGGTACGGCTTTTTCATCACGATCTCCCATTATCGCTATACCATTTGGCACCAACACTTGGAAAATTCGACCATTTAAGCAATGTACGGCTTACCACTGAGGTGAAGGTTTGCCAGCTCGAATAGCTGAACTCAGACTGCCACATCGATAAACAGTAGCCGTACCGTCCTGCCGACACGTTCAATGCCATTGCCCCTTGTCGATCGTGTAATAATATTGGAAGCGATTGGAAATCCATCTAGACGATGGAACCTGTTTCGTTATTAATTAGGGAACATTCGCATAGATACGGGGCACCCAAGAGCTAAAACAACCCTTTGTCAAATCAGTAGAATGGTCAAGTTTTCGAAATAATGCTCCACTACTTCAACAGTAGTAATGCCTACTTTAGTAGAAAAAAATCGTTCGGTAGCAGTGATATTTATACCAGCATATTCCGTTCATTGGGAATCCTACAAAAATTCGAATGGGGCACAACGTATTTGTACGATCGTCGTAACGATGCTTAGTAAAATATTTATCCGAATTAGCCAACATGTTCCAGGCGCCTATGTCAAAGCAAAGCCAAGACAATCACTTTCGACGCATTGTAATGCCGTCTACGCTTTTACGAAGGCGACAAAATTTCAACGAAACCGTTCCAGCATCAACTCACTGCGACAAAATATGTGCTACGATTTGTTATTTGCGCAAGGCACCTTTAAGGCCAATACATCAGGATCATTTATCTTCCAGTAGTTGATATACGATAATCGGATTCATACTGGCATTTTAAGTTCCGCTAACAAGAACATGTTATGGATGTCCCCATCATAATTCCGCTCACTTAGCCACACCAAATGGGACGGTTCAGGTTCTGGACTGGACGTCAAACTCCATATAGATCATAGGTAGAGCTGCAGAGATTAACTAAATTCCCAATTGCGGTCACGTCAAATGATCAGCGACAGTTACAGCTGGCAGCTCGCCACTTTCAGTCAAAATAAAGAAGGCGGTTCATGTTCATTAGTTCCAGAAAAGCGTGTGACTAGTCAATTTCTATACTCTTATTGTATAGAGATGTAAAACACACACAATGTCGGGTAATAGAAATATCCTTGTTAAGAAAAAAGAATATTTGCTCGTCTAGATTACTTGAAGGACCTGATATTCATTACGTGTTAGAGCGCCAGCTTCATCCCTCATACAGTCGAAGTGGATCATCACTAACCAGCCAACTTCGCATGCTTTCCTATGAAGCCTTAATTACACCTTGAAGCCTACCTTTGAGAATATAAGTAGGGTCAAAATTAGCAATAAACGGTAGAATTGAACGATTCACTCATACTCCAGAGGTATGATCCCAGACATCAGATAACTGTGTATTTTCTCAATGATGCAGCTGGGATTTGTAAGTTCTTTCTCCTTTGGCGGGACATTACCCTACCGTCGATTGCCCACACCGGCAGAAGTCATAACCATAATGCTGTTTGCACTGCAGCCCGAGATGGCGCCGATATGCTAATAAATATCTATCGCTATTTTCTGCGTTCCATAATTGCTTAGTTGGTTAGTGTCTGTTTGTCTGTATACGAACAACGAACTTTTCTCACCCTCGGTTACTCCATTAGCGAAGGCCAATAAGACAAAGGAGATCAACACTCGAGCCTTTATAACCGGCGCTGATGCTGCTGTCAAGGTACGAGGAGCCTGAATCAGCAGACGAGAAGCAGCCGTAACACCACGCGGTAATAACTGCATCATTCTTGCGATCAGAATCAACTACACGATGAAACAGATGAGAATACAGAACTTCACCTGAACAGATCCACCTGTTATTCAGTGTTCAGAAGTGGAAGTGGCGGCAGTAGTAACAAAGAGGACTGGGCTTCAGATGCATCTCCGAATTTCCCGCAATGCGACGATCAACGCAGCTGCAGCGAGGACGAGTTGGCCGGTCTGAATCGAACAAAAAAGAAGTAGGTACATGGAATTGAGTAAGTACATACGTATTATATGCGTTTGTGCAACATGCATGCTACTGATGATGGTGGTGGTGGTGGTGGTGGTGGTGATGATAACCATAAGCACAAAAAGATGGACTTATGATTGAAAAAAAAAGCAAAGCGTAAATGATAGAGAATAAGGCAATAGTATAATCAGAAAAATCTATTTTGCGGTTACTGACGACTTGATGAAACCCACTGAATACTGCTATGGCTAACAGCGATGGATTGGAAGGAGGGTGCCACTCCTGATCTATTTGGAAGTTCCAGAAGCTTCCGGCGGATGCTCGCCGCCAATGCTGGGCGAGACGGCTCCTAAAGTAATACTTATTTTTTTATATCGGACGATAAATGGGCTGAAGTCATTTGACAAAACAGGCTATTTATTGAAGTGGTAGACGTGAGGCACTTCGGATGATGGATGGTGTCCCGCTTTGGTGCCTTAGGGAACAATCGCTCAAAGAAGTTTTTTTTATTAGTAACGATTACATACGTATATATATATATATATATATATATAGTTGGTTATTAATAAAAATATAATAATGACGTGTTGCTATTATCTGCGAATGATGCACAAATATATTGCAGTTGTTCCATGAATAATAACGGGGGAACCTGCATACGTCACAAAACTTCTATTTTGGTTATCAATACAATGTTCGAACAAACTTTTGTATGACATACGCGTGTATTTATGTGAGTAGATCGGGCCCAATAGTGATGACCACTGTCCCTCTCCCCCTCCCCCTAGAAATTCCGCGTATCGGGTCATACATTGGCTGATGCGACGTAAACCGAAATCAGATACAGATATCCTGCTTGAATATATATGACAGGACGTGTTACGTAACTAAAGTAATGACAGTTGCATTATATGAAAAATCAATTAAATTACTCCACTTGTTTTTTTTTTTTACTTTATATCTTATTTCAGCCGATCCCGTAATTAGCAATAAGAAGTTTTATACTGACATTAAGTTGTTTGTGAGACCGTTTCATAGGTGTGTTAAATAAAGACCCTACCTAGCAAGGTCCAATATAGGTAGATATTTTAGCGGGAGCGAAATTCTTGATACTATATCAAAGAAGCGATTCTTGGGATTAGTTCATGCCGTAGTAATAAGTATAAACAATAAATATGGAAACAAAAATAAATATGGAAAAAGTATATACTCTTCTTTGTAAGTTATTGGACGCCAAAAATCTAGTCAGCGTATACACCTAATACAAATGAAAGAACGAAATCATATTTACGTGTTATATGTTCTCTAAGGGTTCCTTTGGCTACCACAGCAGAAAAACCATAAATGCGCGCACGCTTAGCTTATCGAAGTCTCTTGTTCCATACAGGGTTCCTAAAAAATCAAATACAAGGCTGAAAAACTTATACGATGTATGGGAACAGCAAGACAACTCCATTATTATCATTATTAAATGAGTCACTCACAAAAAGTGCCCACCCACAAAAAATATTGATTCTAAAGTATATCTAGAAAATATCGGATTAATAGGTCAAGTTCGTATACGTTCTAAGTATTTCTGTAGAGGTAAGGATGTATTCATTCGCATAAAAGGAAAACAACCTCTTCGGCCATCACATATACAAATTCGTTCAGCCCATGCAGTCGTAGAGGAACCTTGCAGAGGACAATTATGCCATATACTATTTAAATATCGCGGCGACAAGGATCATTTTTTTGTTCTCTGGTAATAGCTTCTGAGTAGGCGCAACCGTCCACCTCTAGGTAAAATAGTTAAAATTACGCGCCGTTCTAATTTATTAAGTGGTTAGATATTTACCGAGGTGTTACGCATGATATTTGGTACTGCGGGGAAGTAGAGACGATTTCTGTATGACCCTAGAAGTGGAGGCCCAGTGACCTACCGTCATAGGTAGTAGGGCATAGCCACAGTGCCTTAGATCGCGTCCGGTTCCTGTTTCGTGACCATTGGACATACTTGTTTGCTTTGGTTAGCTGTTTGCGTTTTGCTCAATGATTGCACGTGACATTTTACTTGCCCAAGTAGGGCCACAGCTGCGAAATGTGGGATTCAGCCCCGACATCAATCGACGTTCGCTTAAAAACCTAGAGCTCGGCTAAAAAGTCAGTACACAAAATTGGAATTTGGAATTTGGAACACAAAATTACAGTTTGTTCATAACAACAATTATATGCTGCTACGAAGACACTGATTAACAAAGAAGAACTCTGAACTGTGATTAGCCTAAAGTTACGAATATTATAATCTCTGTTGCAATGAGCATGCTATACATCGTATAACAATATTTGGAACAAAACAGCAGTTTGTGAAGACAACAGTAAAAAGTTACTTCAGTCATCGCTTGGCTAACGTTCAGTATTTCTGAAGGTTGCGAATCTTCACCGCCACTTCAACCGCAGAACTGTTTATTCACTCTATAAGTGCCTTATAGAATTCAGCGTTTTATCAGCTTAATTCAATCAAATAATCTTATCTATTATAATGTGGCCGTTGGCGGCAGTGAGACTGGGCCTTTATCTGTTTTGTGACGGCACGTCCTTCTAAGTGCGCGATTATCACTAAGGAAAATCAGAAATGTTTGCCGCTATAACTATCCTTGCAATAGATTAACTGTTTCTTTTCTAGTAGGCATATGTCACCTATCCTAACAGATTCATAGAGATGAAGACTTAGCACCTAAAATGATGCCTTAGACAATCAGCTTCTATGATGTGTTTCAATCTATAGATTTCTATCCAGTCGAACCACTATACCTAACATCATGGACCGGTGACTCCCACATATGGACGTAACGTTGCAATCGCTGAGTAGATATATATATACATATATAGATATATATATATACGCAATCTAGCACTCGAGTAATCGGCAAAGCATCGAAATATTTCAGCGACCCATAACGTAGATGCACGTATGCAACGACATGACCAAGCAAGAAGTATGTAGTAACACAAGTAAGCCGTTGTATTTGAACGGTGAACTTCTTTGTCGCTTGAGCCATAGAACGTGCATGCTCCGTTTGTGCTTTTTCGTTGCACACGACCATCTGAGAAAACACAAAAGCGAGCTAAGCCAAATGTGTCAATCTCGCACACTTATATTTTACAATATTGTAATACTGTGGACGGATTCAACCCAACGAAAATGCTGACAGTCGCGGTACAGATAAACAAAAACCAGATAGGCATTGCATGAAATCCGCTTAAATGCGTGTAATCAGGATTTTGCAGTGTCGAAGGGAAGCACTTAAGCTGAGCGAACCTTTCAGGGACACACAATGATAGAACGAATGATACGATGTATATAATAATGGAGAGGGGTTTAAACATAAATATCTACTTTTTACAACTTGCCATTGCGTCTGCATACACCGCGCCTTAATTTTGAAGCATTCCTCATATACGTTTAATGTGGGTACTTTTATGTGGGTACGTTTAATGTGGGAACGAATACCAGTGCTTAGTATGCCCTTGCATCCTTACGAACGTAAGCACTCTTGCCTTATTTTTGTAGTCGCCCACAAAAAACCTATTCATTAAATACGACAGATGCTTCTTTTCGCGATTATACAACTTTTAGCAACAATTATGCGTCAAGTCTTTGACTGCCTCTAATAGTGGACTTTATCACATGGTGACACTCATTATCGTTTCAGCAGTGCAAACAGGGCCCGCTTAACTTATGTTCCTGTACTTTCTAAAGTTGTACGACGCGTTTATATTTAAATAATAACCATATGAGGTAAAAGCTCACCGTTTATGGTGTATATATACTCCGTCTCATAAGACCTGGGCACATCAACCATAACTGTCCGTATGTATCAACGATATCTATCAATTCGAAAAGCAAATAGCTAGAAAATACAATACTTAGACTAAGAAGTAAGATAATGAGATACTGTAAGATATTTGTCTCAGCATTACAAGTTTTTTTATCATATAATTAGGTGGAAAGTGTTCGCTTTCTTCCAGAACACGCCACATTTTCTTTTATTCCTATGACAATAAGTTATTCTCCGGCATTGTTCACGACCTTCTATCTGTCAACCAGCGTATTTGTTTCTTTTCAGCAAAAGTTATCAAATCTGGTGCTAAGCATCTCGCCCAGCTAGGACACCTGCGCTGTCAAATGTGTGCCTTTTAATTTCATTTACTACTTAGCGGAAAAACTGGAAAACATGTCACTGTAAGGCCCGCAGAATATGGAGGACGCAACAAAGTATTCCATTCAAAGTTTAGGAGGGCAACGTTGGTGATGTTTGCCGTGTGTGGCCCTGCGTTGTCATAGAGCAGAATGGTCTGACCTCGTTTATCGAATTTTTCCTTGAATAGCAACTGGGCCAAATAAACGTACAGATCGACTGTTTGGTGAGTAGGAAGCATTTCTCAACGAGTTAAACCCTCGCAGTGTCGTTAAACGCAAAGCATAACCTTTTTTTTGGATAAAGATTTGGGCCCTGGCTTTTTTCTGGAGCCACCCATTCCGATTTTCGGTTCACGTTCATGACGTACAGACACCGTTTCTCATCGCCAATGACAGTTCTGTGAGAAAATCGATCATTACGGTCGCATGACATTCGATACGGGACGAGATGTTAAGACATAGCGTTAAACCGTAATTACTTGTTGTATTCAGAGAACTCATAAGGTACGTAAGCCCTAAGTTTCTCTGTCGAGTCAAAGGTCATCAGGTAGTTAGCGACCGCCGTGTGACTGCAGCCCATCATTTCAATTAATTCCCAAGTTGTTTATCGGCCGTCTTTTTTCAAAAGTGCCTCCGGATGGTTGTCACCAACTTAGAACGCCGGCCGGAGCTGAGGGTATCTTATAGGCCCAGGATACCGATTTCACACCACTTTTAAGTAGTCCTTTTTGCTTACGTACACTAAGTACGTCCTTGCCGTGCACAAGCGAAATGCTTCGGGTTGTTTCGGCAGCTTTTTGACCTGGACGAAGCGCGTAGTACAGAAAGTGTACAAATGCACTTTTTCTCACCTAGAATATCCATCTTTAAGAAACTCCTTAACATCGCACTCATAACACAATAATACAGTTACAGCAGACCGATGAAGGAGGAAAGGCGGTTTCGAACAGTATGTCAGAAGTAAATAACAAGTGAGCGGAAGGCGGAAAGAAAAGTTTTTCAAGCTGCGGGGATTTTCTGCTCTATCTAGTATATACAATAAAGTTGTGCTATTTTTGTAAGCAACCTATTCTAAATTTTCAATTAAAATAAATATTACACGAGCTCACAATAGTGAAGTAACGAATTTAGGTTATAAGTACGGAAAATATTTGTTAGAATGTTTCCAGAACATGAAATATCTCGGATAATTAATTTTTATTTATAATTTGCCATTTAGTTACCTATAGGCTAAAGATATGATGCGTATCGTACTAGTAATATACAGATGTAGTGAAGGGCAGCTGTTATCCATAGCGATGTCTAACCCAGTGCTTGGTCAACGAGGCAGTCTCCTCCCTATTATGTATATGGCGCATTGGTAGCTCATTTCGCGTGGATCGTTTTCTCGAAAATGCAAGCATAATCAATGCTCAAAATTAGAGTTTATAAAAAAAAGTTTTTTTTTCATTAAACTACTACGTACGAAATACTAGTGCAATGGGTCTGAGTAGGATCGAGTTGACTATGGAACGTTACTGCAGTCGACTTAATTTAAATTTCAGAATTTCAGCTTTCCAAACCTTAACTTAACGGTACGGTACTATAATGCTACAGCGGGGCATAGTGAACGGCTTCCAACAGTCGCTGGGACAAGAACACGTTTACAACAAGGAGAAACGAGGTTTTAGGCTACGACAGATCAACTACGATCATTTATATATACCTTCCATCTAATATTACGATTATGGCATATCAGGACCGGTTGACTGCTTCCATTTGCGTATGGTAGACATGTTATGCGTCTAATTGCTTTCACTCGTAACAATTACCTATGAAAATATTTACCTAAGCAAAATCTCGTAGCACGTCAAACACCCTGTTTCATGATTTGGATGCTATAGACTCGAGAAAACGAGACAGTGGTCGGCCATTTTTAGGATTTCCATAGCACAACAGAGCGTCATCAAGACTCCTTCATGCTCGGTCCAGTGTAGGGTTTATTCTTCAGTAATAGTCACAAGAATGGTACTACCGCAAGCTTAAACAGTTCGATGGAAGGCATGTACGGCTCTTGCTTCATATTGGGACTCATTAACGGGG